AAGTTACGGGTTGATTGTTAAGGTTACGGGTTGGTTGTTAAGGTTAAGGGTTTGTTGTTAAGGTTGTGAATCCTCTCTCTCTCTCTCTCTTTTTTTTTTAATATTTTGTGGATTATTTTATTATTTTTGTTTTCTCTCTCTCTTTATCATGATGTACCAAGAGGATAGTTGAAATGATTAATGAGGATTATTTTATTATTTTTGTTTTTTATTATTTTGGTTGTTTGTATTGGGAGGTTGTTAAAGTTACGGGTTGATTGTTAAGGTTACGGGTTGGTTGTTAAGCTTAAGGGTTTGTTATTAAGGTTGTGAATCCCCTCTCTCTCTCTCTCTCTCTCTCTCTCTATCATGATGTTTCTTTGATGATATGAAATGATTAAAGAGGATTATTATTTTATTATTTTTGTTTTTTATTCTTTTTGTATTTTTAGAATATTCGTTGTTAAGGATAATGGTTGGTTGTAAAGGTTATGCATTGATTGTTAAGGTTACGGGTTGGTTGTTAAGGGTTTGTTGTTAAGGTTATGGATTTGTTGTGTAGGTTACGGATTTGTTGTTAAGGTTACGAGTTTAATTGTTAAGGTTACGAGTTTAATTGTTAAGGTTAATAAAAAACGAAAATAATAAAATAATCCTCATCAATTATTTCAACTATCCTCTTCGTACATCATGATAAAGAGAGAGAGAAAATAAAAATAATAAAATAATCCACATCATATTTTAATAAAAAAAGAAAGAGAGAGAGAGAGGATTCATAACCTTAACAACAAACCCTTAACCTTAACAATCAACCCGTAACCTTAACAATCAACCCGTAACTTTAACAACCTCCCAATACAAACAACCAAAATAATAAAAAACAAAAATAATAAAATAATCCTCATCAATCATTTCAACTATCCTCTTGGTACATCATGATAAAGAGAGAGAGAGAGAGAGAGAGAAATAATAAAATAATCCCCATCATATTTTAATAAAAAAAAAGAAAGAGAGAGAGAGGATTCATAACCTTAACAACAAACCTTTAATCTTAACAATCAACCCGTAACTTTAACAACCTCCCAATACAAACAACCAAAATAATAAAAAACGAAAATAATAAAATAATCATCATCAATCATTTCAACTATCCTCTTGGTACATCATGATAAAGAGAGAGAAAACAAAAATAATAAAATAATCATCATCATATTTTAATAAAAAAAGAAAGAGAAAGAAGGGTATTATGGTCTTCACATGTTTTAATGTCTTGGGTTTTGTGTTTTGGGGCTCAGAGAACAGATTCTTTATTTTTAGGGGTAAAACGCCCATTGACCAAGTCCTGAAGGTGGGAAGCATGTTCCCTTGCCTTTTAGGGGCTGGAAGCATTTTTCCCTTAAGGTAAACATAATAAATGACTCATTATCAATTTTAAATCTCATGGAAAATAAATGTAAAGCTTTGTACAAAAGCACCTAAAGAGGAAGAAGACGGCGGCGACAACCGTTCAGCTATAAATTTTAAATCAGTGTAATCAATATATAATGTAAATGTAATTATTTGTAACATATCAACACAATCGCCAATTTAAAATCTACATTGACACACTGGTCACGGTCTGCTTCTTCATTGTACAACTTTCTACGGAGTGGTTTTTATAAAATTATTTTTTTTGAATTTCAGGGTGATCACCAACTTTATACTGTGAAATTATATAGTCCGTACACGATTCTCTCCGGAGGGGCCCTTCTATCGTGACCTTTTGAAGGCATAGACAGAGGACCTCTCTCTCATAATTACATTGCTCATCAGTGTAATTTGACACAGGAAGATATTGGTGTACGAAATTAAATAAACTTGACACCCTCTTTATATCATCACATATTTTTTTTTTCAAAAGGAGAGAGAAGCACCAAGCAAGTTTATTATTGGTTCATGGCTGTTGTAGCACTGCTCAATGCCTTGTACTACAAGGGCACTCCCCTCTTCCAATCCAATTATATGCTGCTTTGCATTTATTGCAGTTTCCTTTGATAGAAGGCTATTGCTTTCGGATTCGGACCCTCTTTACTATCTAAAAAGCAGTGGATGGACCATTACATAATCATAACCATTGATTATCTAGTTGGTGATTATAATTTTTTTCTTTGAGTGCAAATTAGGAAATGGTGCAATACAGGGGGCATAGTGAGTGTTAGATTTAGATTGTATCACAACCGCATACTAAGTAATTAACGATTGAGCTTAAAAGAAGTGGTTTCAATCTCCACTACTTTTTTTGTAGTGGAGAGGATCCAAATTCATTGCTTTCTCTCTTGCTTGCTCCGATTGGTTACAAGGGCGTGGGTATTGATGACATTTGGAAAGCATGGTGTTGGAGAATCACATGAATCTTCACTGTTGTTGTTGAGCCACAAGTAGTTGCTTCATTTATTTTATGTTGTTATAGGTTTGTGTCACGCTACACCAAACGGAAATTATACATCAGCTGGGTTCAAAATTATGACTAGAATCAAAATAATTGCATCAAGGGTTTGTGTCAGAAAAGCAAGGGCTCACGGAAATCTTGTGATTTACATAAATCAAATTTATATTTTTATGCCGAGGCTCGTGGACGTAATTGTGAGTTTTGAAGTCAAAGAATGTGAATGATATGGCTAGTTTTATGTCTTCTTCTTCTTCTTTTTTCACTTTTGACTCTCATCTGTTGATGAACCAACATGCTCAATTTCTTTTTTTTTCTAATCGGGAAAAATAATCGTGTCTTGATCTTAAATCCGAAACATACGATTAACCAAAATTCTATAAGATCGGGATACATGTGATGTCGAGTGTAGTCTAATAAAATGCAGTGTTTATTATGGGGGCAAACTCTAAGTTTGTTGTTTGAATTGTCTCGTACAAATTTTATAAGCTAAAAAAAAATTTAATCACATTGTACGTTAAAATGCGTAAGCGCTTGTTTGAAACATTGAAGAATATGGTTAAAACATCTTTTAATACACATCCATTTTGGAGCTGTTTGGTTCGATAAATAAAAGGAAAAAGAAAAGTGTCAAGAAATTAATTTTATTGTATTTTTCCTATAAAATTTTATAGGAGAAGTTTATAGAACTCAAAAAATACTGCTTTTTCTCGTTTGTTGCTCTTTCGTTGTTTGTTTAAAACATTAAAATGAGTTGCTAACTTTATAGAATATAGGTTTTTTGGTTTGGTTCGATAAGAAAATTTTATGGAAAAGTGAAACTCATACAAGAATGGACGTATTTCAAAATTCTGTTCGATTTCAAATTTTATGGAAAAGTGGTACTCGTGTACTTCACTTCTATTTTAACATAAATATAAGATTTCCTTTGCAATATCGGTTCATTTGGGGAGGAAGTTGATTTCTATAAAATAGTACATTTTCCCCTGCTTTATAGAAAATATTTCTATAATTTTTTCCGGAACCAAATAAACAGAAATCTATTACTCACGATAATATCATTGCCAGATATTTCTCTTTCCCAAAGAAAAATTCCTCAAGGACCCAAAATATGGGACCAATAGGGGGGACAAGTGAGGTGTCCCCCCCTCCTATTGGATAATGAGTTGGCCATCATTAATGATGACCAACTCATTATCCAATAAGGGTAGGACACCTCACTTGTCTCCCTATTGGTCTCATATTTTGGGTCCCTGTAGCAAAGCTCTTTCCCAAAATTAAACAGCACCCATATCGACGATCGTTTGAAACAAACTTGTCCTCAATATGGCAAAGTGACAAATCCACATCAAGAACAAAGTAACCGTATTAAGAGGAGGGGAAAAAAAAAAAAAACGTCTTCGTAGGCTTAAAAAGGCAGTAACGGACCAGAGAGCCGCGGGCGGTTACCTCACCACGCAGGCGGAGTACCGGATTCAGTTGCGGTGACGTTCTCCCTGATCGTGCGTGCCCCACGCGACTCCCGCGGGGCCCACCGCTGTACGCAGGATGCTCGTACAAGAAACGCCGGGTGGGTCCCGCAGACACGTCGGATCCCATTGTACGAGCCCCCGCAACGAATCGCTTACGTAAGCAGAGCACGATAGCGAAAGGGGGAACAAACCGAGGGGGGCGGGCATCTCCGCTCGCCGAGATCAAAATAAATGCACAGGCACGCGCACGTTATCATAATTTCTCCCTCTTGAATCAATTTTAGGGTCCTCAGTGGCAACTAAATAAAGAGCATTATCATAATTTCTCCCTCTTGAATCAATTCAGGGTCCTCAGTGGCAACTAAATAAAGAGCATTATCAGAGGGAGAGGATATCGCGGCGATTCTTTTTTGGCCAGAATTTGCGAAGTAAATCATACGCTCCCCATGAAATTAACTTATTGATGACCTGTTCGCGGAATTCATCGGGAGATGTTAAAAAAAAAATAGTTGTCGCGATTTTTTTTGCAAATATGGTTACAGAATAACTTCAGAAATAAACAAATAACCCGTTACTGTTGCATTTTAAAGAGTTGGGAAGGCAACGACATAAATATCTGCGACAAGGTATTTTAACACAAAAGGTGGAACTACGAATTTCCCCACTTTTTACTGAAAAGGCAGGGGCAATGATCACTCTCTCTCCTTATTCACCAAAAATTTAGCAAGAATAAAAGGAAGAAAGATACGCTTTTAGTAGCGGCAACAGGGATAACCATTATTGTAGTAAGGAAAATGATAGGAACACACCCCCAACCACAACTCCAACCACACCCTTTCTCTTTTGCTACAGTGCACCGGACTCCACATGAGATTTTAAAATTTTAAAATATCATGTGAAGCCCGATGCACTGTAACAAAAGAGAGAGAAGATGTGATTGGAGTTGTGGTTAGGATGTGCCCCTAGCGCCACTCTTGTGGTAAAACTTTAGCCGTCTCAATTTGCATAAACAATGCCACCCACGAGCGATGCGAAATGAATAAAATAATACCAAAAGGAGGAGGACTAGACAGTCATTAAGTCGATCAGGAGAGGGGGCAGACTTTGCGAGTGGAAATGACACCAATATTATATATATTTTTTTCTAGTGAGCACTAGGATTTTTTGGAACATTCTTCCGATGGCCATGTACATGATATGATGCTCCTTTTGTCCAAGTGAAGAAAGAAAAATATCCTCGGTGACAGGAATTGAGCAAAGCACCCGTACTTTATAACATACATATGGAATTTAAAAAACCCTCAGTGCTTTGAGCATCCATCTGATTCTCAAATATATAATAATATCTTCCTTCATCATAAAAAACTATGTGAGCAATTTTATGTAGATGACAAGAATCAAACTCAGTAGCTCCTCAAAAAGGCAATGCCTTCAATTTGTTTAAGATTTTGAAAAGCCCAAAAATAACCCATGCATTCCAAAGAGTAAGATTAGGAACAATGTCGACATAAAGGGCCGCCCTCTCTTCCCTTGCGTCTTAACTTCCCCCCCTTTTGTGGGTCTCTTGGGCTTGAAAATGGAAGAAAATATTAGCCTTCAATCTTTGCCAATCTGGAGCCCCATATAAGAAGACGTTTACTAACTAACAGTAATACTCATGTCACTTCAACGCAATATGCCCATTGCTATCTTAAACCTCTTTTTTAAAGAAAAACAAAGTTATTTCTTTAATGTGGAAGAAAAAAATGTGAGCAAACAATAATGAGAAAAAGGACAAGCATTATCTAACATAAAAATGATCAAAATTGATAGTGACACACATCAGCGGAGAGCTCAGGCAAATACTTTAGCCTCATCTGGGGGGGCGAAAAGAATACTCCCCACTTTTCCTAAAGAAATAATTCTTAAAACATTGTTTGTGCATGATGATGCTGTTGGATTAAATCTAATTATGGGCATATATGTTACATTAATGTATAATGCTATCCTTAAGGTTAACCCGCATAAAATGATCAATAAATTTGAGTTAATGAATATTTAAATAAATCATGGGCTAAATGTGCGGATACCATGTTGTAATTATAATTTGATGATGAGCCAAATTATAAAAGTACAACAACTATAAATAAGGGGTTACGGTCCCTAATCTAGGGTAACATTCTCTATTCTCTTAATCCTCATCTAAAGAGATTCTAAAGGAGAGACCCTCAAGATTAGAAGATCAAACATTCTCTATTCTCTTAATCCTCATCTAAAGAGATTCTAAAGGAGAGACCCTCAAGATTAGAAGATCAAACCCTAATTCAGATCTAAAGAGATTCTAAAGGAGAGACCCTCAAGATTAGAAGATCAAACCCTAATTCAGATCCGTGCAAATTCTTCACGGATTCAGGTATTGCTTCCGCTCACTATTGTGTTTATTCTCTTTGAATTAATCATGGTTTTATGGATTAGATCTCAGTTTTAGATATAACCGATACGAGCTTATCTAATACTTTGAGAATAACATTACGAACTTTTTAGCAAAACAAATAGGCCAAGAGCTCACCGAGACAAGATTGGCTAATACGTCCATCAAACAAGCAAATCTGCTGGAATCGAGTCATAACATGCCTTTACATGCCAAGGGATTGAGAAGAAAAGTGCTGGGCTCAAAGGAATGTTATGGCTGACCTGGCTGTTTAGGGTATATAATCATTTGGCACGCTGGAACAACTTAGCTTCTGTTGCCCTTGGCAAATGTTTCCAATCCTACACCCTAGACAATATAAAGAGAACCAGGTTTCAAAGGGGGAAAAAGGCAAAACAAATAAAAAGTCGTTAACCTTCGTTTGATGTGCATGATCTGGTCTGAAGCTCAAGCTTGAACCATAGCAGAACATTCCTATGAATCACCAAAAAGGGAATTGTCTTCGCTGTTCATTGAAAGTGCACAATAAGTGAGCTCAAATGACTACTTTGGATTAGCCAACTAAATCCTGCATAGAACTATTCCGACCTGTCGCTATGAAATTTCTACTTCTCACTGGACGCAGAGCACCGAATTTCCAAATCTTGCAAACGGTAGGCGATCAGTCTGCAATAGCCAGATAGCCAATACTGAAAGCCTAACAAACAGAAAGATGCTTTACCTCCTATAAACAAATACCATCACATAATTAATAACATTCATCATGATGTTAAAATAAGATATGCTACTTACTTTTAACGGTGATGCCGTTGCATATCAGAATAGATATTGTTCATTTCACAGAAGAGACATTTTGTACCTACTGACCCGTACTAAAGTAAATCACTTGTGACTACTCTACACCAATAGGATTTGAAGCATATACAAATCACTCAAAAGGTACTTTAGAGATCGTAGTGAAGATTTATTTAATTTATGGTGAAATTAACAACCAATGTCGTGATGGTAGCATAATCTCAGCATCATGGTGGCGGCCATATTTGCTTTCGAGTTTGGATGCACGCCCCAGCAAAGCTCGTAGAGGCACTAACTTGCAGATTCATTTACTCCTGTTGCATTTAATGGGACAGGTTCAGATGAGATGCTATACGGTCCATGCAATAATGGTGCATCAAAGGGACCACCGGACACATTCTCAAGGTTTGGATAGAAAATTTTAATTAATCATTTACAGTTCAAAAATTGAGAAGTAACAAGAAAGAATTAGCATCCAAGACTACTATCAACTAATGTAGTTGAAGTTCATTTACATGTTTGGGACCCTGATTAATCTAAAGTCTAAACTTTAACCTAATAGAATTGGATAAGCAAGATAATAACTAATACACAAGAAATCCAATAAGTAAATTCAATGATGTGGAGCTCCTAGCCATAGAAAATTGACATTAGAGAAATTTCGAATAAGACATCACAAAAGGAAGGCAAGGGAAAGAAATGGAAACCATGGCCCTCAGTGGGGGACTCTATCAAAAGCTTAAGAAGCTTTAATCATGTGCTATGTAGTTTGTTTAGCTATCATTACCACTCTACAACTTGGTAATTGTTTACATTTTCGGTGTGCTATCTGCTGCTGCTCCACTGTTGGCGGCAGCTTCAGCCTTCAGATACAAATTGAGCAGTGGGTAGAGAAAAGGTATTAAAGGCAAATCCATATCTAGATAAAGCAATCAATCCAAGATGTTGCCTCCTTTCTCTATTATATCCTGATACACGAGTACTATTTGGTAATTGAAGTGGAGCTGGAATCAGGGTATAATGCCTCCTAGACTGTTGAAAAAAAAAAAATTCTTAAACTATCAGTCCTCAAGCATTTTCTATTCACGACTTATCCAAGCAGGGAGAGTGAAATCATCCTAGATCAACAATTTATTAATGCGGTCATGTAAGTTTTGAACATTTCATGTTTACAAATAAAGAATTAAACATATCTTTCAAGATGCCACTCGGGTTAAGGCACAAACTACCTCGTGTTTACTAGAGATTAACAGGACCTAATGTTCATGCAAGAACCACGAAAGTACGAAACTGTTACTTGCATAGAGATCCATATAAAACAAATTTAGCTTTATGAGTTAGACCATGTTTGGGAACCTTGGGTTTATAATCCACAAATATAATATAATCAAGGTGGACAATAATCTAGAGAATCTAGTGGACTATAATCCATTTTCAATAGTAAAGTGTTTTGGCAAATGGGTGGATTATAATCCATCGTTGTCGTCAAAATTACTAAAAAGAACATAGGGTAGGTGGTGAGTCAATAAGGAAATTACACGAAAATACCCTAAGGTTTGCCCAAATTACACCAAAATACAAGGTTATGAAATGTACCATGTTGATACCAACTGTTAGAATATGCTAGGAATATTCCCTTTTGACTGCCATCTGTTGGTGTGGGGCTCTCCTCTACCCCTAAAGTTTATCAAATTTACAGGTTCTACCATCTTCCTATATGAACCTTATTTTCTTGGGTGAGTTGAACTGAAACTCATGTCTACTATTGTTTTCTCCCCAATCTCATTGTAGCCAACCATGAAGGCAAGCTCTAGAAGTTTAAGCTCTGCATCAAGTTTTTCATTCTTGTGCTCAGTAAATATATCCATGTTTTTCACACCATGGTTAATTAGAAGGTCAACAGGAGGAGGGGTTATCCCAAGGAAAATTAGCCTTAATCCTCTGTCAACTATGGTAAACGGGTGTTTAACAAACACCAAAATCATGTTTACAATATTCAATTTTACTTATAAAACCATGGTGCAAAATAAAGCCCATTTTTCAACACCAAAATCAAAACTAACGACCAATATTTTCGAAAACAAGCAATAAATTTGATTCACAAGAAATTACGCAAATGCTCCTTTTTCTTGCACAAAATAGAGCAGAAAAATAACCTAAATTAGGTCAGCTCCTAATCCAGATCTATGCAAACTTGTAAAAAACCACCTCCTTCAACTTCCTAACCGACAATGCACATACAAATTCTAAAGTTAAACAAAATTGAAATTTACACTTGGCCGCAATCATTTTGGTGGAAGTTGGCAAAATTGTAATTGAAGGAGATTTTTCAA